AGAGATGGGGAGTGCCCCAGGAGAGATAGGGAGTGCCCCAGGAGAGATAGGGAGTGCCCCAGGAGAGATGAGGAGTGCCCCAGGAGAGATAGGGAGTGCCCCAGGAGAGATAGGGAGTGCCCCAGGAGAGATAGGGAGTGCCACAGGAGAGATAGGGAGTGCCCCAGGAGAGATGAGGAGTGCCCCAGGAGAGATAGGGAGTGCCCCAGGAGAGATGGGGAGTGCCCCAGGAGAGATGGGGGGTGCCCCAGGAGAGATAGGGAGTGCCCCAGGAGAGATGGGGAGTGCCCCAGGAGAGATGGGGAGTGCCCCAGGAGAGATGAGGAGTGCCCCAGGAGAGATAGGGAGTGCCCCAGGAGAGATGGGGAGTGCCCCAGGAGAGATAGGGAGTGCCCCAGGAGAGATGGGGAGTGCCCCAGGAGAGACGGGGAGTGCCCCAGGAGAGACGGGGAGTGCCCCAGGAGAGATAGGGAGTGCCCCAGGAGAGATAGGGAGTGCCACAGGAGAGATAGGGAGTGCCCCAGGAGAGATGAGGAGTGCCCCAGGAGAGATAGGGAGTGCCCCAGGAGAGATGGGGAGTGCCCCAGGAGAGATAGGGAGTGCCCCAGGAGAGATAGGGAGTGCCCCAGGAGAGATGGGGAGTGCCCCAGGAGAGATAGGGAGTGCCCCAGGAGAGAGGGGGAGTGCCCCAGGAGAGATGGGGAGTGCCCCAGGAGAGATGGGGAGTGCCCCAGGAGAGATGGGGAGTGCCCCAGGAGAGATGGGGAGTGCCCCAGGAGAGATAGGGAGTGCCCCAGGAGAGATAGGGAGTGCCCCAGGAGAGATGGGGAGTGCCCCAGGAGAGATAGGGAGTGCCCCAGGAGAGATAGGGAGTGCCCCAGGAGAGATGGGGAGTGCCCCAGGAGAGATAGGGAGTGCCCCAGGAGAGATGGGGAGTGCCCCAGGAGAGATGGGGAGTGCCCCAGGAGAGATGAGGAGTGCCCCAGGAGAGATAGGGAGTGCCCCAGGAGAGATGGGGAGTGCCCCAGGAGAGATAGGGAGAACCCCAGGAGAGATGGGGAGTGCCCCAGGAGAGACGGGGAGTGCCCCAGGAGAGACGGGGAGTGCCCCAGGAGAGATAGGGAGTGCCCCAGGAGAGATAGGGGGTGCCACAGGAGAGATAGGGAGTGCCCCAGGAGAGATGAGGAGTGCCCCAGGAGAGATGGGGAGTGCCCCAGGAGAGATAGGGAGTGCCCCAGGAGAGATAGGGAGTGCCCCAGGAGAGATAGGGAGTGCCCCAGGAGAGATAGGGAGTGCCCCAGGAGAGAGGGGGAGTGCCCCAGGAGAGATGGGGAGTGCCCCAGGAGAGATGGGGAGTGCCCCAGGAGAGATGGGGAGTGCCCCAGGAGAGATGGGGAGTGCCCCAGGAGAGATAGGGAGTGCCCCAGGAGAGATAGGGAGTGCCCCAGGAGAGATGGGGAGTGCCCCAGGAGAGATAGGGAGTGCCCCAGGAGAGATGGGGAGTGCCCCAGGAGAGATGGGGAGTGCCCCAGGAGAGATAGGGAGTGCCCCAGGAGAGATGGGGAGTGCCCCAGGAGAGATGGGGAGTGCCCCAGGAGAGATGAGGAGTGCCCCAGGAGAGATAGGGAGTGCCCCAGGAGAGATGGGGAGTGCCCCAGGAGAGATGGGGAGTGCCCCAGGAGAGATGGGGAGTGCCCCAGGAGAGATAGGGAGTGCCCCAGGAGAGATGGGGAGTGCCCCAGGAGAGATGGGGAGTGCCCCAGGAGAGAATTCACTGTGCAATAAGAAACAGCTAATGAAAATGAGGAAATAATTGAGATTGCATGTAGGCACCCACAATTAAGCAAAACTACCATGTTTATAGTAAATGTATATGTAGCAGATATTTTTATTAATAAATGATAATGAATAATGAATGACACGCACTTGTATAGGCCCTTTCAGAGTCAGAGGACTCCAAAGCACTTTACACTACAGAGTATCATTCATCCACTCACACACACATTCACACCCTGGTGGTGATGAGCTACGAGGCAGCCACAGCTGCCCTGGAGCACACTGACAGAGGCGAGACCTGAAAAAGCACTGGTGCCACCGTTCCCTCCAACCACCATCAGCAGCTAAGGTGGGTATTTCCTGAGGACACAACAGCAGCATTCTCTGGTCAGAGCCGGGATTGAACCTGCAACCTTCTGATTACTGGACAACCCACTCGACCTCCTGAGCTACTGCTTCCCAGCTGCTCACTTCAGGTAAGCAAGGGCGGAGCCTGAGAGCCCCCTATGGATGAGACGCTTCTGCCTCAAACATCGGCCAGCCCAACATTTTCTTCTTCCTTCAACACAGAAACACACACATGCAAACACACACATGCAAACACACACATGCAAACACACACATGCAAGCACACATGCAAACACACACACATGCAAACACACACATGCAAACACACACATGCAAACACACACATGCAAGCACACACATGCAAGCACACACATGCAAACACACACATGCAAACACACACACATGCAAACACACACATGCAAACACACACATGCAAACACACACATGCAAGCACACACATGCAAACACACACATGCAAGCACACATGCAAACACACACATGCAAACACACACATGCAAGCACACACATGCAAACACACACATAGACACAGCGTCACTGGCCTCAGACAGTCATAAAGCCAGGGGGGTAAACTGGCCAATCAGCATCCAGCTCAAGCAGTCAGGGTCCATGGGGTATTTTGAGCTCCAGCAAAGTTTCACAAGCTTTATAGAGACTCAAAGATCAGTTATAACAAACTCATGCTAGGACAGTTAAAGTCTTAGTGTGTAGTAAATTTGTGGTTAGCAAACATTGCTCTCTGGGTCGGGAGACCTTTTTATTTTTTACTTTGATCATCCAGCTTCAGCTGTGATCATGCAGCATTTTGCCTCTAACGTATAGAAATGAGCCCGTGGAGGGCTTTACCGATGCTGGAGTGTTCCCTAACATCTTATCACAGTGTTACGACGCCGGCTGACAGCGCTGCAGGGCAGTTATTGCTGTATGGCGTTAATAAAGCGTGAGTCAGGACTGATAGTCAAGGACTTCTCAGAAAATGGGCAAGGCTTTTCTGCCTTTTCTCTGAAATTGTTGTTGAAAATTATGATAAAGCACATTTTCACCCGGTAACAGCGAGTTCTAGCACCTTTGGGTCCACCTGCTGCCTTGTCACAACGTCTGTATGCTGCCAGAGCAAAAAAGCAACCTATCAGTCATCTGCTGTGTTTATTTCTAGGAGACCAAAGGTCCACTTCGGTGTAGTTACTTCTAAAACAAAGATGTATGTGGATGTCTTAGAATAAACAGCTGTCCACCTGCCACGTTCTAGATTCGATGACAGGAAATGACGACAGTGGCTGCCATCCTCCTCCAGCTCTTGGCTACTCTGTGTCATGTTGTGTGTCCCTCTGGTCCCCAGCCCCCGCCTGTTCTCACTCCAGGTTCTCCTCATGTGTCTCCTTGTGTTCCCCGGCTCTCTCTAGGCTTCCCTCATGTGTCTCCTTGGCACTCCCCGGTAGTTCCTATTTGATTTTGTATCAGTCCTCCTCGTCCCTCTGGTTATGAGTTGTTTATCTTTGCCCTCAGTCTTGAGGTCCAGTTATTCAGTGTTATGGTTTATCTCCCCCTCTGCTTAGTTCTTTCCCCCATTTAGTTTAGTGATGCCACCTGTCCTCCCTCTAGACCTCACTCCTCACACCTGTTCCCCTGATTCAGCAGTTTCCGTTTCCTTGGAGTTCACCTGGCAGAGGATCTTACGTGGTCAGTGCACACGAACAATACAGTGAAGAAGGCACAGCAGCGCCTCTTCTTTCTCAGGAGACTGAGAAGATTTGGCATGAGCCGCCGCATCCTCAGGACCTTCTATCGCTGTGCCATTGAGAGCATCCTCACTGGATGCATCTCTGCCTGGTATGGCAACAGCACCGCTTACAACCGCAGAGCTCTCCAGAGAGTAGTGCGGTGTGCAGAAAGGATTATTGGAGGTGAGCTTCCCTCCCTCCAGGACATCTACAGGAAGCGGTGCCTGAGGAAAGCGGGGAGGATCATCAAGGACTCAAGTCACCCCAGCCATAAACTGTTCAGACTACTTCCATCAGGAAGGAGGTTCTGCAGCATCCGGTCCAGAACCAGCAGACTGAGAGACAGCTTTTTCCATCAGGCCATCAGACTGCTGAACACGGCGCAGACACCTCACCCTCACTACTGAAACTCTAACATTACACGCTCCATACTGTACATTAATGCCACTGCTCTGCACATACCAGCCTCTGTATATTTTATATCTCTTATCTTATTGTTTACTTTATTCATTTGTAAAACACGTATATACACACTATACACACACTATATACACACTCACACGCACACAAGTAGAACAAAATATTAAAAAAATAATAATATACTTGCATAAACACTTATACATATTATTACTTAGATTAGCCATTTTTATATTTTACATGTTTTTACGTTACTGTATTTTTGCACAACTCTGTTGCTGTGAAGCTCGCACACAAGAATTTCACTCTCATGTACTGTACCAGTGAACCTGCACATGTGACGTGACAATAAAAGTGATTTGATTTGATTTTGTCCCCTCTGTGTTTAAAAGCCCCGTCTTGTCCCTCAGCGTTGTTGTGTCCTCCTCAGGAACTCCAGGGTCTAGCTCATGAATGAGGCTTGTTTTGTAGTTTAGTTTCTTTGTCTGATTTTCAGTTTGGCTTCCTGCCCTTGGGATATTCACCCATCATCCTGAGTAAAGGGTTTTACTTCCAACAACCGCTCCTGAGTGATCTGGTGTTCTGCAGTTTGAGTCCTAACCTCCTGCTGTCAGCGTGACTCACTGGCCGGTCTCATTCATCCGACAGATGTACATGGATGTTATTGAACCAGGTCTGTCCTTCCTGGTCTTGGGAGGCTCTACGCGCAAGTTCTCCTTTGGCACCACCACACTCGCTCAGATTGGTTATTTGGTTGATAAATAATTTTAGGTTCACCTCACTCAGGTGCTGCAACAACCTACAGCAGGACATTTCATTTGCCTTTTCAACAGGTTTGGTCAACCAGGTGGATGTCTATCTGTCTGAACCGAGGACTCGGGCTGGTGAGGCGCGCGCGCGCCGGGACCACGAGGGCGCGGTAACCGGCTAGGACCAGCCCCCAGCACGCGGGAGGGAGGGTTTAACCGTCAGCCCCAGAGCCAGGCTGCGGAGCCGGTTCCGTACTTAAGGCGTGCGCACCGGCGCGAGCGCCTCGTCGAACCGGGAGCAGGACTCTGGTCGGACCTGCACGTGAAGGTAAATAAAGTCTCTTTAACGGAAGTGCTTCCGGTCTGAGCAGAACTCCCAGCAGGACAGAACGTTCAAAACTCCGGCGGTGCTGTTTCTATCTGAGCTGGACCCGAACTCGTGGTGGTGCTGCCAGTGACGGGGGGGGGGGGGGGGGGGGGGGGGGGGGGGGGTCTATTCAGCCGCGACCAGGGCGCACTAATTTACGCCTGTGCCATGTTGGGTTCGGGTGGTGTTGGTCCGGACTACTAAGCGGGATGTCGCAACAAGCGGCCGGAGGAACCGTCATAATAACAGCTGCTCGTTACTAACGGACCGCTCTGTTCCGATCGGAACCGACCGAACCGCTCCCCGCGGGTTCTGACAGTTCCCTGAATGCAAACACGAAGTTCTGTGACTATTTGGCCACATACTCGAGTTCTGACCTGGTTCTACTGGTACCACGATGTTCCGATAAACGGTCCCGTCTGCAGCCTTCGGTCCAGATTCCACTAACGGACTCTGTGTTTCTCTATATTTGAGCGGATTTTATTGTGAAAGGCGAGCCATTATTTTGACAGTTTCAGCTGGAATATCTCTGCAGGTGAACTTGACAGACTGAACCAACAGGGTTGTGTCACGTTAACGTTCACCAGTACTAATAATGATGACGTTAGATCACGTCAGATGTGCAGCACGTGCTCAGGTCACACGGTGACGTCAGAGGAGGTCTGCTCTGGGTTTCAGAAACCAACACAAGCTGGATGATCATGCTGATGATCTGAGGATCATTCAGAGCTGTGATGCAACAGGACCTGGTGCGGTGTGCCTGCATAACTAACGAGTGTGTTCTCTCCAGGTGACGGCCTCTCTGGGTGGACATGTACTTTTCCACAGCGTGCAACTCAATCCTCGTTCTGGAGATCTTTAAATATCTCCTCTGAAAACCTCCCAGCTTGCACGTGGTGTAAGGCGAGACTTTTGCAGCGGCTGCCATCACACACTCGGAGGAGTCGACGGTCGGGGCTGCTGTCCAGCTTCTTCAGTTGCTAGAACTTCGGAGGGTTGTTTCCTATTGGCTGTCGGGGATTTCTGCAGCCTACCGCTCTCCTCCGTGCTCTGTCTTCACTCTGCATGCCGCTCCTTTTGCCTGCCGGCCTGTAGGATCCTGCAGTGAATGGAGAACTTACTGGTTCTGCTCCCGAAGCACAGACAGGAACACGGGCTCTGCACACGCACGGCTGGAGGTGGCTTGGTGCGAGGCTTTCCCTTCTCTTTGGTAACCACCTGTGCGCCTCTTTGATGGGATAAGCCAGTTGGACAAATCGGGTTCAAAACCAGTTTGGTCGGCTGGTTCCTTTCCTGCAAGCCTAGCCTGAGGTGCGCGGAGCTGATTTTTACCTAGCACCCTGTCTGTCCAAGGCCTCCGCATGGTACTTTGGTCCAAAGAGCAAGACAAACTCCGTGGCATCGACATGTCATCAGGGGCCAGTGAGATGAAGAAGGAGGGAGGCTGCCTGAGTCCAGCCTTCCTGAACTCCAACTGCACTGCTCACCCACTGATCCTGACCAGAGGGTCTGAAGAAGGGAGCCCAGAGAGCGGGGGCGAGTTAGAGCTGACTGAGGTCACGTCCTTCAGAGAGAGGACCAGTGAGACGGGGGATGACGAGGACAGGTTGGACATCGTGGTGGTGATGGACTGTATGGCAGACGCCAAAGGTCAGTGTGAGGAAGATGCTCTCCTGGAGAACGCGAGCCAGAGCAACGAGAGCGACGACAACAGCACCAACCAAAGCCCCGATCCTCCAGCCGCCCTCAAGGAAACCTCCTTTTCCATCGGCCTGCAGGTGGTGTTCCCCTTCCTGCTGGCCGGGTTTGGGACAGTGGCGGCTGGAATGGTGCTGGATATTGTCCAGGTGAGTGATGGCAGCGTCCTACATGGAATAAAAGCACCACACTTAATTCACAGGGTTAGGCCCCGATGCAGCTGCTGCCCTAAGAACATCAGCCAGAGCTGTCTGTGGGGAGTGAGGAAATGTTAAAGCTGCTGCCAGATGCTCATTAGTGTCACCACGGAAACCACCGGTGGCTCACCAGGGCCACCATGGTAACCCCCACCTGTTAGTTCCCCCTAACCCCGATCAGTCCTGCAGCAGGGAGACGGCTCGCACACGGAGGCGTTGTGGGTTCAGCTGGCAGGTTGGCGCGCTCTGACCGACGCTGGGGTTGTCTGTCAGACACCATTCAAACGATAGTAACGGTACGGAGCGCTGCTTCTGACTGGACGGGTTAGGCTTTGATGCATTTTAGGCCTTAGTCAGTTTGAGCTTTAAGCAGATGTGTTGGACAGAAGTACTAACTGGCTCTGATCCTCAGCCTCTAAGTAAAAGTCCACTCCTGAGTTTACGTTTCACACTCTTTCTGTTTTTTCTTCATGTTTCATTCCCCTCATTTTTATTCTGATTATTTTTTACAATCCTTCATTGTTTCTCGTGACTTTATCTCGACTTTCTTCTGCTTCCACTAAAGCAGCGTTTACACATCTGGCTTCACGTGTGGGCTCTGGAGGTCTGCTTTCCTCCTCGTTGGGTTCGTGTCTGAGACCATTTACAGATGAATACTGAACTTCTTTTGTAACCTTCGTGGATTTTCAGCCTGCCGCGGTAAAAAGAGCTCGCTCTGCCGGTCGGACGCTCCATCGTGGCCTCAGCAGGTCCACCCTTGGCCCGTTGGTTGGTCCTAGCTGTCCAGCTGCGTGCCGCCTGGCACCCGTAGGTTCTGCCCCACGACTGGGCGGCTCCAGTGGCTCATGGCCAGACTGTATTTATGTATATGGGATGTCTCGTCAGTCTAGTTTAGCTGGAGCTAGCTTAGCTTGTCCTGCTTCAGAAGCCGGGCATTTACACACCCTCTCTCCTTTACAGCATGCCTCTTGGACGGGCACACACTGGTACACGACGTGGCTTCTAATGAAGCGCCACGCACTCCCCCGTTTGCAGTTTGACACACTTGGAGGGTGGTGTGCTGTTGCACAAAGCCGGTCGGAGCTGGGCTCACTTGGTGTTATTTTCCTTTAAACTCACTGGCAGAAGAGTATGACTCACGAGAGAGGTCCGCTCTCCTTGTTTATCCCATGCATTCGCTGCGTGCTCTGCAGGCGGAAGGCATCGTCACAGGCCACATTTCTTTAAAGTCGGCTTGTAATGCAGCTAAAGCTGGAGGTGACCGCCTGCCAGCAGACCGGGACATTGTGTACATGCATACTGATGCCAACATGGTGGTCCCCTCAGGCTGGGGGGGGGAGGAGCAAACGGATGAAAGCTTACTCTCTCCGAGCACCTGGTGGTGCAGACAGCTGAGCTACTCCTCCAGCTGATTACCTGGCTGTCTAATGGTGTCACAGCAAGATGCTAACTCAGCCAATCCTCGTGTCCGGGGGGGGGGGGGTCTCTGCCTCTGATTGGTTTGATTAAACCGCTCCTGCTGATCAGTTAGGAGTCGGTCCATGGGGCTGTGGGGAGTTTTCAGCAGCAACTTTCTATGTAAAAGTCACAAATGGTTCCCTTTTTGTGGCTTTGTGAACAGCCTCTGTTCTGGGAAATGGAGATTACGTCCTTCAGGACTGATGCGCTAACACCTAGTTGTCTGAAAGCGTCTCTGATCAGCTACATCTGAACCGTTTGTGCCTCTTCTAGAAGACGTCTGTCCTTGAGCAGATGTTGTTGATGTGATGCACCACAGTGTGATGCACCACAGTGTGATGCACCACAGTGTGATGCACCACAGTGTGATGCACCACAGTGTGATGCACCACAGTGTGATGCACCACAGTGTGATGCACCACAGTGTGATGCACCACAGTGTGATGCACTGAGAACTTAGTCGTGTGGAATAATGTGATTCTGTTGACAGCGACACACTTTGGCTCGCTGTTAGCTCATCGGTCCTGAAGGATCTAAACTGTGTTTTTGCTGAGGCTGTGCAAGCTAAAGGTCATGCACTCCTAGTTGTCATGGTAACACAACCAAATAAATGATTTTCCATCCCATAAAAGCTGTAGGGTCTGTAACCTTTGCGTCTATGATTTGTGTAGCAAACCCAACCCACAACTGGAAAGCAAAGACAATAGTGTGGAGCGCCAGCGGTGGTGGTCACCGTGTGGGAGCGTCTGCCTCGGAGTCTGGCCGGCCGTGGCTTCCGTAAGTGTAAACAGCTAAAAACAGCAAAGCTGCTGCTTCACAAACAACCCGCCTAAAAATACCAGCAGCAGTAAACAGGAAGTCTTAGTCGTGACAAAGGTTCAACACGAGCCAGGCCGATGCTGCCCAGCAGACATGTTACGGTCCAGCCACATCCACAGAGCGTGGGCTCGAGTCCTTCAGACGGACTCGTCCGTGCAGCGCTCAGTCAGCTGGAGGAGTTTGTGCTCCGAGTCACTCAGAAAAACGAGTTAGTGACGGGAGGAGAAGTCGGTGTTGCTACAGGCTGGCTGGGGTTCCGCTGATGAGCTGTGCTGATTGGCTCCATCGTGTCATTCATGTCCCCGAGCTCACGCCCATCCAGCAGTGTCAGCGACGGCGGCTCATTCAGGACGTGAGTGCCCCCCTCCTGGGCCCCTCCCGGCCCCCCTCCCGGGCCCCCTCCCAGGCCCCTCCCGGCCCCCCTCCCGGGCCCCTCCCGGGCCCCCTCCCGGGCCCCTCCCAGGCCCCTCCCGGCCCCCCTCCCGGGCCCCCTCCCGGCCCCTGGCTAATCTTTCTCCCACGTAGCTTCCCGTGGATCAGACAGGTCAGGTGCAGGTGTTCCTGTCTTTATGGCCTTTATGAGTCGTTTGTGTGCAGTGGGTTCACCATGACACTTGTGTCTGACGACTCGCGTGTCTCCTCACTCCCCTTATCGCCACACTCACTAATCTGGTGATAGTCATTTGGAAAAAAGTCGACCGTTTCCAGAGAAACAGGAAACTGATGAACAACATTTATAAAAGGTCTATTTCCATGCAGACATTCTAACACGGCAGAAGGGTGTTTTGGTGAGATGTAGTTGAAAAAGCTGTAGAAGTTTTTATTTGTGGTTCAGAACCAGAAGGAACTCATCAGTGCGAGTCAGCACCAGTCAGTAATGGGAACCAGTTAGGGTTCATCAGGAAGATTGGTACCATCTTCTAGCTGAAACGTTTGGGTGTCAGTACTTCTACTCCTTGTACTTTTACACAAGTATATGCACTTTGTACTCCGTCCTCACATCTAGAGAAAGGAGTTCTGGACCGCACCTGTGCGGGCTACGGCGCCGGTCTGAGTGGGTGTGGTACCCTGCTGGCTGCTCTAAGTTCTTCTGTTCTTAACTTATTTCCATTCATCATCAACGCGTGTGCAGTGTTACCCGCGTTGGTCCGCGTAACATTCTTCTGTACTGTTATAGTCATGGGGGGGGGGGGTAGCGCTTTAGTCCATAAGGGCTTTTCTAAACTTGCACTCCTTCTGTTCCTGTTCACTAGAACTCTTCTGCTACAGCCTGTCGGCATCTCCAGATGTGGTGAATTAAAGTAACCCTTAGTCCTTTTATAATCTGGTTATCTACTCTAGCAGCAGGTTTACTGACAAACCAGCTTTAATGATTGTTTCTGATTCTAACGGGTCACTCTGAGTCTTTCATGCAGGCTGAAAATGAAAATAGTCTCCTACACCTGTCTCCTGCAGTAGCTTCTGACAGACGGTTCAACAGCAATCCTGACAGAGCTACGTCACCTAACATTCATGGACTCACCAGTCTTAACTCACGACATCCAGGAAGACGCACAGAACGTCTAGAAGCTAACTGTTAGCATTAGCTACTCCACCACATGGCCGAACTCCTCCAGGCTGTGTTAGTGGTGGAGAGAAAACATCAACGTTGCAGAGCAAACAGAGTCACTGGTGGAGTCGTGCTGCTGTTAGCCAATCAGAGGGGAGAGGTCTGAATATCAGGAAGTAAGACCCTGAATCCTGCCCCCTGAAGCTACCTTCTCCTCCAGCTGACTTCTACATCCTCAGACAGGAGCATCTGGGCTTTTTGCCCTAGAGTATGACTTACAAGGCATTCATTCTTACCAGAGACCGCTGCAGATGTTTTAGGAACATGAGTGAAGTTGACCTTTAGTAGTTTTGGAAGCAGTACTTTTTACTTTCCCTCAAGTAAAAGGCTTGAATTGAAAGTTTACTTCTACACAAGTCTTTATGTACCCCTGCCTGAGTAATGAAAGTAACTGCCTGCTGCTCTGAATCATCAGTATATCTGTAGGTAACCCCCAGAACTTTTCAGAACTTCAGCGTTGGCTTATGGAAAGCTCTCAGTGGAAGCCATTTTTAATGTGACCGTTAGCGTCTCACAGAGGACTAATGCAGACGAGTAAAAACGGCCCGTCTTTGTGGAGCTATCTGGAGCTTTTAACCATGCCTTTCTCCCCTCGATGCGTCCAACCGCTGCTCCACCACAAAGGCAGAACCGGTCCAAAGTTTGGGATGAAAAGTGCAGCTACACGCAGATTGGCTAATGCTAAAGCTAACGGTAGCAGTCTCACGATCAAGTGGCGCACAGAAAAATATATGATGATGTAAAACTGAGAAAGACTCAACTGTACATGCTGATGAAAAGTCCCCACCATCCTGTTTGTTCTGCATCCTGCAGCGCTACGGACCAGAACCGCTGCAGATACGGGTCACATTACTGCTACAAGGCTACGGCAAGCCGTTTGGTATCTAATTCACAAACGCTTCTATCTTTGAACATAATTTAAACTGGATTATTGCCAACCCGTACATAACAGACATGCCACCATTACACTGTTAGCAGCAGAAATGACATGTTATTAGCATTTCCAACACAAATGCATGTTAATGAAATACATTATATTTTACTGCATACATTTATGTGTTATTGT